AAGCAGTGGTATCAACGCAGAGTACTAATCTACAGAAAAAGTAATATCGAAAGGTCCTTGCTGGAGTCTACTAGGGGCAACGCGCGCTGCTTTACACCTTCACGAAAAGACGTCTACAGAAAGATTTTAGAATATTGAAATCGGAATATCAAGGATATGCTGTATATCGAAAGACTTGCCTTGATGAACTGAGCACAAAGCTTTCTTCGGATTCAGAATATGTTCATTCCGAAGGAAGTTACGGCGAGTAGAATTTAGAAACGCGTGATTTTTCCAAAATTCACCAACGCTTCTATCTCTTTTGGAAGATAGTCTGCAGCTACTCTTGAACGCACGATAACCTACAAGGACAGTACTATCGAACAGTGCTTACTGGAATCTTTGTTACACAGATGCTGCGTTACATCCTTGCGAAAAGACCTCCACAGAAAAAATTCGAAAAAACTGGAAATGGAATATCGAGAGCAAACTGTATATCAAAATATCTGCCTCAACGATCTGAACACAATGCTGCTTCTGGATTCGGAATATATTCATTCCAAAGGATTATGGCGTTGCGTACTCTGCGTGATTCGCATGGTTTCGCGGATCCTGAAATGCCGCGAACTTCCCGGATTATCGCGCTTGGCGGAAATCCCCGAATTCCGCGAAGTTCACGGAAATTTTGACATTCTGTGCGCGGTATTGTGATCTTGAGCAGATCTTAGAACAAATTCGATCAGAGTGGCTCTCTACCATACTCCTATAGTATACTGTCTATGTGTCATCAGCGACAGATCAATGGTAATACTGTTATCAGCACAGTGATCAACCAAAATAATAATCGATAATTTTGAAAACTAATATTGTATTCGGAATCCCCATGCTCGATTACCCCCTGCGCAAACTCCCAGCCCCGTAGCTCAAACTTTGCAAAAAAATCGATAAAATCGATAAAAGTAATCGATAATCCTGAAAATGTATTCGGAATCCCCATGCTCGATTACCCCCTGCGCAAACTCCCAGCCCCGTAGCTCAAACTTTGCAAAAAAATCGATAAAATCGATAAAAGTAATCGATAATCCTGAAAACTAATATTGTATTCGGAATCCCCATGCTCGATTACCCCCTGCGCAAACCCCCAGCCCCGTAGCTCAAACTTTGCAAAAAAATCGATCAAATCGATAAAAGTAATCAATAATCCTGAAAACTAATATTGTATTCGGAATCCCCATGCTCGACTACCCCCCTATGCAAACTCCCAGCCCCGTAAGTGAACTCTGCAAAAAATTGATAAAAATCGATAAAATCGATATCGATCGATGACGAAAAGTAGCCTATGACACCCGCCGGGGCCCGAATTGTACGTGTGCCAAGTTTGGTCCGGATTGGTTCAGAAATGGAATTTTCTATTCGGAGCATACGTACAGGCAAACAGACAAACAGACGTTCAGCTTCATATATAAGACTAGCTGGCTTACCCGGCTCCGCCGTATCCGGACCAAACTTGGCACACATACACTTCGGGCCCCGGCGGGTGTCACAGTCCACTTTTCGTTATCGATCGATGTCGATTTTACCGATTTTTATCGATTTTTTTGCAGAGTTCACCTACAGGGCTAGGAGTTGGCACAGGGGGGGGGGGAAGTGAGCATGGGGATTCCGAATACAATATTAGTTTTCAGAATTATCGATTACTTTTATTGATTTTATCGATTTTTTGTAAATTTTGACATGCGAGGCTGGGATTTTGCATAGGGGGGTAATCGAGCATGCTGATTACGAACACAATATTAGTTTTCAGGATCGTCCATTACTTTTATCGATTTTATCGATTTTTTTGTAAAGTTTGACCTGCGGGGCTGGGAGTTTGCACAGGGGGTAATCGAGCATGCAGATTACGAATACAATATTAGTTTTCAAGATCGTCCATTACTTTTATCGATTTTATCGATTTTTTGAAAATTTGAGCTAGGGGGCTGGAATTTGGCACAGGGGTGTAATCGAGCATGCTGATCACCCCCCTTGGGGATGATCAGCATGCTCGATTACCCCCCTGTCCAACTCCCAGCCCCCTAGCTCAAACTTTGCAAAAAAATCGATAAAATCGATAAAAGTAATCGATAATCCTGAAAACCATTATTGTATTCGGAATTCCCATGCTCGATTACCCCCCTGTGCGAACTCCCAGCCCCGTAGCTCAAACTTTGCAAAAAAATCGATAAAATCGATAAAAGTAATCGATAATCCTGAAAACCAATATTGTATTCGGAAT